CAGAAACATTTTTTTCAAAAAGCAAAGGTATTAACAGTACTATAGATAAATTTTATTTATAACAAAATGTTGTCATGGCTTTTATCCCCATTATTAAAAGCATGTGAAAGCATGAAACTACCCATATCTTTTAACGCTAGACACCATCTAAGAATTATAGTAAAATATATTTTCAATACTATTATCTATAACACGAAACTTTAAATTTAAAAGTAAAATTTAAAAAAAGATTACAATAAATTATTTACTACTAAAATTTTAAAAAGATTTTATATTAACTATAATTTTAAGCTACTAAACATTATCTATTTAATGTCGACTAAAACATTTTGTATTTTACAAAATACAGAACCGTAATTAACATTACGAACAGAAGGCGTAACAATGCGTAACTATGCGGACTACTAGAAATAATGATAATATTCACTGCGCTATTTATTTTTTTTATTTAAATTGACTTAATATAGAATAAATTTCTTTAAAAATTCTATTATACAAAATACAAAATTTAAGTATAAAAATTAAATTTAACAAATAGGAAGTATATTTAAAAGAAAAAAAGTAGAGTAATATAGTTTTAATTTAATTTTTAATATAGCATAAGTAATGAGCTAGTATTTACTCCTATTTAAAAGTTTCAGAAGAAGTCTAATTCGTTGTCAACTATCAAAAGTTTTTGTTTAAGTTTATTTTTAAATAAATCAAAGAAAGAAGTAGTTTTTAACTCATTGTTTATTCGTATGTTCCATAATTTATTCGTATGTTCCATAATTTATTCGTATGTTCCATAATTTATTCGTATGTTCCATAATTTATGTCCTCTGATTGTGATCGAGAACTTAATTGCAGAATAATTTGTTTTTGGTTAAATATAGATGTTATTTGAAAATCTTGTTGGGTATAAATGATTTTTTGTTTTTAAATTAGTTAAATAGGATAAGTGGCATTTTTTTTTATCAACTTTCAGTTTAAATATAAAAATTTCCAATAATTCTCACAGCGTGTTTTTGTTTAAATAGCAGCTTATTTTTTTTAGATAAATTAGTGCTGCACCAAACAACGTTAGCGTAATTTAGATAAATAAAGTGAATAAGTTTCAAACAAGCTTGTTTTAACAATTGTTTGGCGATAGATATTTTATTTTGGATTTTACGTATGTGCTCAAACCACGTTACATTTTTATTTAAAACTATACCTAGAAACGACAAAAAATGCTCTCTCTTGACATAAAAGTTATTTTAAAAAAAAAGATTTAAAAGTTTTGGACAAATCTTTTTTTTTCATGTAGGTAATGAAGAAAAGCATATTTTGTTTTTTTAATATTTTTGAACAATTTATTTGATATAAACCACCCGCTTAGTTTTGCAAGCTCTTTGTTTACTGTTGCAAATAAAACATTATTAATTTGTCAGAATGAAATAAGTTAGTATTGTCGGCAAACAAAATGGAATTCATAATACTTAAGAATTTATTTAATTGTTTATTTAGTCATTTATATAAATGAGAAATAATGAATTGATCCTTGCGGAACGCCGCCGGTAATTGTCATTAAACCCGTTTTTTTGCATTTAGATGAAATGCATTGCTTTCTATTTTTTGAATAACTTTTAAACCAAGCTAAAATACAGTTTACTATACCATAATTTTTAAGTTTTTATAGAAAGATATAATGATCTATGGTATCAAACGCTTGTCTTTTATCAATGATGACACCGAAAGTAAGTTTTTATTAGATCAATAAAGACACCTAAAGTAAAATGATAATAGATTGTTATCTTGCTATATTAAAAAACCAATTAAAAATAAAATCGCTTTAACCATGATAATTCATGCAATAAATATAGTATGATTTAATTCCTTAAAATATTATTATAATAATAAAATAATAAATTATCAAATGATTAGGTCAGTCAAAAATTAAACTAAATAGGTATACTAAACTGTATACTAACTTTTAGAATACCAAGTATACGATAAGGTATACTGTTAAGTTAGTATACCGTATACTAAAACCGGAAATCCCTAGTTTTTTTCCAAATGAAAAAATTATCTAACAAAGAATTCGGCACATTTTTACTGCGTTTTTTTAAAATAAGTAGAACGAAGAAAACCTTTTAAACCACCAGCAAGGAAACAAAATATCTACCTAAAATAACCATGAGAAAAAATTTTAAAAATTCATGTGCGTAATAAATACTTTGTTTTAGAACCTATTTTCACTTAAAGACGACAATGATGAGTAAATGAATTGTCTAAACTTACTGCTATTTAAACAAAATTGAACCCTTTAAAAAAATAACTTTTTTTATTTGTCGTCTTCACACAAGTAAATGTTTTATTAGTTCCCACCTTTGCTAGTACGCAATTATGCCAATTTTTACTTATTCCAATGTTTGCAAATTTTTTTGGCGCAATTATGCCAATTTGCACTAAAGTCAATGTTTGCAAACTTTTTTAGCGCACTTATGCCGATTCCCATATATGCAAGTTAGCACTTACACCAGTTTTTGCAACGCTTCGCACTTATGCCAATTTGCACTCATAAAATTTGTGCTCAATCAGCCTTCCGAAAGTAAGGCTACATCAAATACTTAGTTTTAGATCCTATTTTGACTTAAAGACAATTTTGATGAATAAATGAATTGTCTAAATTTACTGCTATTTAAGCAAAATTGAACCATTTAATTAAAAAAAAAAAAAACTTTTTTAATTGTTGTCTTCACAAAATTAAATGTTTTACAAGTACTAGTACTAAAAATAAAAGTTTTACTCACCTTTGCCAGTACGTAATTATGCTAATTTTCACATATGCCAATGTTTGCAAATTTGTTCGGCGCAATTATACCAATTTGCATTAAAGTCTATGTTTTCAAAATTTTTTAGCGCACTTATGCCGATTCCTACATATGCAAGTTAGCACTTACACCAGTTTTTGCAACGCTTTGCACTTATGCCAATTTGCACTTAAAAAATTTGCGCTTATTTAGCCTCCCGAAAATAGTTTATAAGAAATACATAACAAATTATCAGTTGTCATATATCATTTTTATTTGAGAACTGGAGCCATTTAAACGTTCAAAACTTGTAGTAACTTTCTTACGCATGCGTACCTAAACATAGCGTTTAAAGATAAACGTGACGTTATTTCTCGCCATTGCTTTGGCTTTTATGGCTGGCAAGAGTTCCTTGTCAAACACGCTCAAGTGGGTAAAACTACTACTGTTAGCAATAATATTTAAGAAGGTAATCTGTGTTTTAAACAAACTACTGTTTATCTAACAAATCGCAACGGTATAATATCGCAACGTTTATCTTGATTTATGTCCACATTTTAAGTTATTTATTATACCCTCTAGTTTTTCAAATATCAAAAGATTTCGTTTACATTTATTTTTAAATTAGTTAAGGCAACACAAGTTTTTAACTCATTATTCATTGCGCCTTCCAAAATTTACGTCCATTGTTTACGATTATGAATTTAATAGTAAAATAATTAAGTTTTAGTTGAATGTTTAAAAATGCCGTTGGGTATCGATGATTTATTTTTCCAAAAATTTATTTAAATAAGATAAGGAACACATTAAATCAACTTTGAACATAAAAAAAAGATTGTTCATTTTAAAGTTAAGCTGAGATTGTTCATTTTAAAGTTAACCCTGACAGCTTTATATTTAATACAATATTCATCAAAAAAGGTATTACTTGACGGTTGGTGAGATATCAAAGGTATAATTTAAATGAATTTCTGGAACCAAAACAAATTACTATTGCTAAACAGTACTTGCTATAGTTGAAACAATTAAATGAAAAAATCTAAAAAAAAAAGTTTGATCAGGTCATGGAAACCGTAAAGCTATTTTTCAGTATTACAAAGCTCAACTCCATGTTGTAACAAAAACTAGGGAAACCATTATAGACCTAGGCTGGGAAGTCTTGCCATATCCTGCGTATCTACCAGACTTGTCGCCATTACTTTACAAATTCTCTCCTTCAATGGAGCGTTTATCAGGTGACAAGTCTATTTCTAAAGTTCAAGATATAAGAAACCTAGATGCCTATTTTTGTCAAAATAGGCATCGTCTGATGCCTGTTTTGATAAATGCCTCAGTTCTTTTAGAAAAATAGGATTTTTCAGCTTGTTATAAAATGGCGAAAGGTTGTAGACATTCAAAGAATTTTGTTTTATGACAAACAATGTTTTTTTGATTTTTTTATTTAATAAAAATTTATAAAAAAAAAGAATTAAATTTTGCACTAGCCTAATATTTAATTGATAACACTAGTGATTATTCCATCAAGTAGCTCCAGAGTATTTAGTTTATCCAGTTGCTTGTTCATTTAAACTTCTAACTTTGAGGCTCAACCAATTATTAGAGAAAACTGCAAAGCTTTTTTCTCAAACATTACAAATATACACACTAATTTTTTATTTTGCTTTACATACGTTTACATTAAAATACAGTAAATTACAGGCATTAAGCGCAATGCAACACATATTTGCATAACCTCAATATCAAAATTTGGAAATAAACTTGTAGCGTTAACAACCGATTGCAGTCTGGCGTATTTGGTTATACATTTGGTAATACATTTTTTATCTAGATTATGACTATTGCTTATTTTTACATATCAAATACAGTATTACACATATGAATAAACAAAATTAGCAACAAAACATAGGTTGATTTGATTAAATATAAATAAAGTCAATACTTACTTGATCAACAGTAAATAAAATCGGTCCTAAATCACTTTGCACAGTATAAAATAAATGTCAATAACTCAAAAAAATGCAACTTAGTAACTTAGAAAAAATTGATCTAAAAATGTCGGGCAATGGTTACTAGATGGTTCTACTGAATATTCGTTAAGCCAACTTTGAAAAATGGAACGGCTATATAAACCGCCAACTATATTAGACTAAATAACCCGATATAAAAATGCATGTCTTGTGCTAAAATATTGTTTAAACATTTTAATCAGAAAAAACAAACTCAATTACTAGAAAAAAAGTTTATATATTTTATGTTAATGATAACTAATTTTAATCATCAATAAAAGGAAATCATTTTTAACTTTTGATTTTATTGATTCATTCCTGGTACTAATTATTTTTCTTGAGAAAAAATATATTATACTCCTATTTACTAAGTTTCGTTCGTAATATAATCAATGACTTTTTAAATTATCCCTTTGTTATCTTTTTTATCATCTGTTATAACTGGAGGAGACACAAAAACATCTCGACCAATATCACCGTCTAACTTTTCCTTCGTTTTCTTAATCTCAGTCATGACAGTTTCTTCGTATTTGTTTATAACGCCTGTCAGACTGTTGGGATTGTGCTGAACATCTCTCAACAGAACTGCAAGTTCGCGGAAATGCTGGAACTGCTTAATCCTGTAAAATAAGAAATACAGCATAGTAATTTTTTTACGTTTCCTGCTAAACTACAGATATATCCCAAGAACTGACAAAAAGAGCTTACCCTAAACTAGCTTGTTGTAACCCCACTTAAAAAACAGATCAGTAAAAAATTACGTTACTGTAAGATAATGTTTAATAATTAATTTAGGTACCTCTACTGTCAAATTCCAAGTATTACATTTATTATACCTGTTGGCTTTGTTCGGCTTATCACTGCGTCTCTCTAAATCAATGAGTCTGTCAATGTAGTCAACATTGGAAAGAATGCTTTTTCCTAATGCAATTTTTTCTAGACGCACGGCAGCTTGGCAAGCAGCTTGGATGTCTTCAAAAACCTATAACAAAAAAAAATAACATTTTCAAGTACAGGTTATTCACAATTTGAACAAAACTGGGGAATACGAAAAGTTGTATTGATGGTGATGGTATTTGATTTAATATTTTTTTTTTATTAATGGCGTTTCAGCTGAAGGTAAAGCTTCTCAGTACACCATATAACTAAGCACATTACAATTTATTGTCGCATTAAATTTTTTTGACATTTTGAGGAGTCTGGTGCCACATTTTAGTTTGTTACAAAATAAAAAATGTTGTACTGATAGGGTCCCCTGCACATGTAAATCAAGAATCCAATAAAAAAGTTGTACCTTATTCTTTTGATTATTATAAACATTCATTAACTTCTTAAGAATTTTGGTTTTTGCTTTTTTGTCGTTCATTGCAATGTTAAATTTTTCCATCATGTTTTCAATGGTTTCCACCATTTCCACTTCAGTATAGGTGTAAATTCTATAAAAAGTACACTCGTTAATGAAATTGAAATTAAATAACAGTTATCATCGAAATCTCACATAAATACCATTAATACAAGCAACAAAAAACATTTGTCTACTCTATAAAGCAAGAAATTATGTATCGTTCAAAAACTTAAAATTTCTTTATTTTTCTTTTATTCATAGCTATCTATCATACGCCAATATAGCATGGGCAAGTACCCATAAAACTAAATTAAGTTCACTCTATAGACGACAGAAATTCGCTTCAAGAATTATAATTTAAACACACTAACTCAAGCAAACCCATAACTAAAACAGATAAATGCTTTAAATCTTTACCAAATCAATATGTATCAAAATATTTTGTTTATGTTCAAACATAAAATAGGAACTGTTCAAAGTCAATTTATAGATAACTTTTTGAAAACTAATGTAAACAAATTAAGCACTAGAGCAACTGGAAACTATATTGTACCCTTGAAAAAAAGAAAACAATCGCAACTTTCTATAGCATATTGTGTTCCTTACTTGTATAACAAATTCATGCCAAAAGATTCCTCAATATCCCTCCTGAAATATATAAATTCCTCAAAAACTAACCTTAAAAAACTCGTTTTAGATACAAGCAGTTATAATTATAAATTATAATTTTCAAATATCTTATGAGTAATCTAAATATCAAGAATATGCCCCAAATATATATATATATATATATATATATATATATATATATATATATATATATATATATATATATATATATATATATATATATATATATATATATATATATATATATATAAATATATATATATATATATATATATATATATATATATATATATATATATATATATATATATATATATATATATATATATATATATATATATATATATATATATATATATATATATATATATTATGTTATGCTCCTTTTTAATAACACGACTAATTATGTCAAAAAATATAATAAGTAATTAATAAAATAGTTTTGAGCATCTTGTGAAATTATTTAAAAAAACCTAGGTTTTCGATGACAAGACTAGAAACAGTTTTCTGTATGTTTCCCTTGACTGCTTAACTAAAGGTTTATTTTTTCCTTTTTTAAGACTTAATTTGTCTTTTCAAAATATAAACTGTGAAACTATTTTATTTCATTTTATTACTTTGTACATCAAATATATCTTAATATTATTTCAGTTACTTTTGAAGCATTTTGACTGTATTTGCAATAAATGTATATATTGTTAAAACTATTTGTAATAAAAGTATGTATCGTTAAAACATGTAGTTGTAAAAAATATATGGTCAAAAAAAAAAAAAAAAATTTTTGATGGTATTGAGTAAATTAATTTAAAACAAAAAAGTTTTCTGAAATAAAACAACAACTCAGGTTTTTTTTAAAAATCTTATATCATTATAGTTTTTATTGCAATATTTTACATATTACTTTTATTAATGTATTTTTATAGACGACAATAGATGTCTGTGTTTAATCATACCTACATATTTTTTCAACAAAAGTTTTATTTTACCTGTTTCCATTACTGTGCATATCCCAAGGACACTTTCCAGAACATTGGACACATTTTCCATCTTTCATAGATTCACAAATCTCTTTGTTATCCCCTTCATAGCAAGGGTCATGGCAAGTGAACATGCATACCTTGCAATTGGTGATATTATGGCTGAATATTTTAGTTTCTTGATAATAAACTGTCTTTGTGACTTTGAAATCCTTGTTTGCCCTCATTGTACCCTTAAGTTCCATGACTACACGTGTTGTGTTCTCTATAGATTGAAGTGTTTCAAATCCATCATTGATCATTCTTTGTAGACCATATAGGAGATGGTAAAGGGTTTCTCTTTCATTGAGGACTTCCTTGGTGAGCGTGGGGCTAACCGGGAGAATAACTTTGATGTGTCTAAAAAAATTTTCAAGACTGTCATAACTGAACTTCCAGTAAAAAGCATTGGATTCATCATCAACCTTTGCATAAACTGCTGAGTTGTTAAACTTGAAAATTCCTTTTTCGGTATACGGTATTTTTTCCATTCTTATAGTTTCCAATGCAGGAGGAAGTTGGGCACCCGCGAAGGTGAAAAGCATACATATATTTTCAGTAACATTTTTGCCAAAGATGTTAAGAACAGCATTAAAGACATACATCTGCTCTGCAGTTAGTCTAGCCTGACTTGCCTGAATGACAAGTCCAATGCTAGAGAGTTCATCTACAGGGTAAACTCTGTTGCTAAAAAACTCCTTCAGACTCTTACTGATGCTCTCATCGAAGTTAATACCTCTAGTGTTCCCAAATCCAGGTGTGTCAATGAGGACAAGCGTGTATGGTACTCTAAACCCCACCTTGTGGTGGAGTGTGTAACTGCTCACCCATCTTGTCATACTTTCTGCGTGGGTAATAAAAGAGTCTCCGGTTGCATTATGCTCTAAACACATCAACATCATTATTTTCAATCTAAAAAAATTCTTAACTATTTTAAACATGCAACCCTAATAGAACGCAACTCGGAATTAGACTCAAAAAAGTGTAAAAAAAACTCCATTTTTAGTCGGAATTAACTTTTTTTTGACGATTTTTTGACATTTTTGGCTGATATATGGAAATTATGAATTAGAAAGATGTTTTACACTAATTTTAAGTTAGTTGGATGGATTCAAGTCCAAATAAGTAAGAATTATATTGCCTTAATTTCGATACATAAATATTTTTATCTTATAATTCTTTATATTACAAGAAATATATACTAGTGTAAATTGTTAATTATTTAAAAAAAATACTGAACAATTTTTGATATCAAAAATATATACTTTGTACCGGAAATAAGCACATATATACATGGAAAAATAGATTTACTGACTAGCCATAGCATGGAACAAGGGTGTACACCGTGCACTTTTTTTTGTTAAATTAACCTTGTTCTTTTGCATCAATATCAATGTCTGCAACTTCCTTAACATTTAAAAGGCAGACGAACTGATTTTCTATGCCGTCTGCATTAACTTTGCGTTTTCTGTCATGATTTATATCTCAAGAAACTAGAAAAATATTGAAATCTTATGAATTGCACGGATATCCTTTAAAGAAATCTCATTGTTTTTTGAAAGGAGCAATTGTCACTTTGAAATTATCTTCTACACCATCATATCGTATGTCGGAAACAATGCAGACTTTTGGCTTGCCAATTGAATTGTTGACAAGTACAACATTGTTCGGGTTTTTTTTGATGATGGTAAAGTCCCAAAAAATCAACTGTTTCATATGGCGCGTTTCTTGGCATTCGGTTTGTTTTCCTCCTCTCCTTTTTGATAAAATTTATTGAATGGACAGAAGTAATTTGGTTGATGACACCAAAATTATTCTCATTAAAGTTCAAAAAGTGTAAAATGTTTGTTTCTGCTCCATTTTTATCCACCATTGAATAGAACACGTCTTCTTTGACAACTGTTAAGAAAAATTCAGAATCAAAATAAGTAAGTAGAAACAACACTTTTTAAAATTAAATCAGAACTAGAAAAGTCTTAGTTAAGTTGGAATCATAACTTACATTGGCGGTAGAACAATTTTTGAAATCTCTTCCCGCATCAAATTGTTGTGCATTTGTGCGTAGACACGATGTCCGCCTTTTCTCTAAATTAGATATTAATATGCATATGCAAGAATTTTTGGCAAAGTATTCAGGAAATCTAGTAACCAACTTATCAAGATAAAAGTGATTACCTTTGGGAATTATTCCTATCGAAAATTGCAGTGACCTATCAAGCAATCCGTAATGTGAATATTTGCCGAATTCACCACTCGGTAATGGCCTGTATAAATATGTAATATAAACATATGTGTATATTATAAATATAGTTCTTATTTAAAATTGTACTCCAATCTGGCAGTTTTCATTTGAGGACGCGATGATTCTATTAATACTTTTCCAGACATTGGCAATTCTGCCAGTTTAAGCTCAAGCTTCGAACTTGACAACATTTGAAGTACAGCTGTTGTTTTTGATTGTGTCCAGATGTGAAGCAACATGTTTTAGAAGATTTTTCCATGTTATTTTATTTTTGAATGTTTAGCAGCAATATTTTTCACTCTTTCTTCAATTTTCAGATCCAAAACTGATTTCAAATTATACAGTTCATCGGGAGCAATAAATTCTTCTTCCGCGTCAATAGCAGCATCATTATCAGCGATTTCATTTTCCAAATATTTGCTAAAAAAGTTGTTTATAAATGTAAATAACAGCAGCTTCTTTGGCAGGTAATTCATCGTCAATAAAAGGCTTGTCGTCTTCATCACTACTAGTGCTACTACTGCTAGTTCCAGATTTCAAATCACTTTATTCATGCTTATCGGAAGCAGCGCGTTCAACAACTAAATCTAAAAATAGTGAATAATTACGAATGTCTTTGAATTAAAGCCATGTTTGATGAATGAAGACAGCTTCTACTTCTTTTGTCTACTTTTTGCAGCATGTGGATCATTATCAAGTGAGCAGTCACTACTTGACGTGTTATAGTCTAATTCTTTAAGTGTTATTTCGGCCAAATACTAGATAATTATTTCTTTAACGCAATCGGGACTGGCTGCTCAATTGTTATTTGACCCCAAGTTCATGTATTTATTATTTAATGAGTGGGTAGAATAATTAACATCTGCTTCTCCAACCCTTTCTGCTGCTGCAAATGTACTTGGAATCGTCGGACTTTCTGAATGATTTTCCTCCTGCTCAGAAACTACCAACTTCCGCTTTAGCTGCTGCTGGTAAAGCATACTTATCAGAAACCGAAACATCAGTTGATAATGAAGCAGATCCAGAAGATGCAGATTTTGTACCTTTGTCACTTGATGATGAAGCAGACGATGACAATGATGATGTTGTAGTGCCCAATGCAACAGGGCCGTCAACATGTTCAAATAAGCCTTTTTTTTTAATTTGATCAACAGCATGACGCTTTAATTTATTTTGATTAAAAGCGGTAATTTGTTGCAGATTTCTTTGCCTAATATGAGCAGGTTTTTTGTGACTGCCCATTATATATTTATCAGCGTTACTTTCGTAAGAACAATCGTCCTCATGGAAACATTCTTTCAAATCCATTCACTATTAATATATTTTACTAACACGTCATGCTAAATTGACTTTAAAAAAGATTAAATAATAATAATAACAATAATAACAATATTACTAGGAATTTCTCAAGTTCAAAGAAGCAATTTAACGTAAATTTTATATCATTCTTGATATTATTTTTTACAGTTGATATTTCCAATATAGTTTAAAAATTTATGTTTATTATTCTAGAGGTTAATAATAATAATTATAATAATATTATTGTAGAGTTTGATTTTATTTTTAACTCTTTCTGAATAGTCTTTTATGAACGTCAAGCTGCAAACGCTTTTTTTTTAAAATATTTATCTGTTGTTATATTTATATATGTAGCTCTCTATTGATCTATCTATCTATCTATCTATCTATTAGGTACGTTAGTATCGCGTTTTACGGAATCGAATTTTGTGCTAAAATTCTGTTCCACGTCTTTCGTAGTCTCTTAAAAGTTAGCGTGCTTGAGGAAGGCTTTAAGGAATAACTTTTTAGTATTCGTTATCAACATAGATTATTTTTAGAAAGAATAGTTGAAGCATTAGTTCGATTGGTTTTTAATTAGACTCACTTAATTTATTAACGAGTTTATTGATGCCAAAATTTTGGTTGTACTTCTGTGATGAATTTAATGTCAGGATATAGCTTTTTTTTTTTCTATCCAATTTTTTTATTAAATTTATTCATTTATCTATGCAGCTGCCAAATTTCGTTGAAAAATATTTTGTAGCAGTCACCTTATTTCTTGCTGCACTTTTGTTACCTTTTACATTTTACCTGATGTTAGCGCGGAAGACAGAGGGGTCCATTGATTGTTTTTATTTATATTTATTTTAGATATATAGTATTCATATTAGCAATATTTGACTTATGTCATAAATTGATATTGTAGACTAAGATATTTTAGAATAAAAATATAGTTAAAATATTTGTAAATTAAAAGAAATTGTTTTAATAAAACGATTTTTAGTAAATAATAAAATAAGACTTGGATTTTATATTTCATTTGGAATTAAAATGTAAAAAGAAAATAAAGGTTTTATCTAGTATTTCATATCATATTCATAATAAGAATTAGATGTGAATCAAATTAGTGATGAATCATATCTAATTTGAAGTTTGAACATTCTCTTTATATAATAAGGAATATCTTTATGAATAAGTTGTTTCGATATAAATTTATTAAACTGTTTTTAAATTATCTGGCCACTATCTAAACCTTTATGTATAACTTAAATATTTCTTTCATTGTTTTAGATACCCAAACTTGTAGTCCAGCCAACAACATCAGTATATTATTTTCTGTATTAAATAGCTTAGAAGTTATTATATATATATAGAACATATATTATAATATATGTTCTATGTATATATATATATATATATATATATATATATATATATATATATATATATATATATATATATTTATATATACATATATATATATATATATATATATATATATATATATATATATATATATATATATATATATTCATACTTTACTATATGCCAATTTTTTTATTACTTTGTGAAAATAAAGTTTATTTAATTTTTGCTTAGATGAAGTTGCTTTAGAGAAGATCAGTCAGTTAAATCCCTATTATATGATTTAACATTTTAGTATTTAGTTATTTACTATTAGTTTTCTAATACAGTTCTTTATTATGCCTATGTAGATTGTTATCTAACAATATTATTTCTTGTTAGTTGTTTTTTTGTATACTTAATACTTACATTTTATCAAGTCACTCTTTTTTTTCTGTAGACATTTTAGAACAAACAATAAGTAAGTTAAGTTTGAATTGTTTTAGTTACTATATAATTTTAAGTATTTGTATGCTGTGTTAGTATTTAGGTAAGTAGGGCAAGCAGATATGTAAGTTTTGTAGATCATATGTAATTTTATGTATTGTATTTTTATTTTTTTGTACCAACTTTATCAGTTACTGTTGGTAAGGCTTATATATATATATATAAATATATATATATATATATATATATATATATATATATATATATATATATATATATATATATATACATACATATATATATATATATATATATATATATATATATATATATATATATATATATATATATATATATATATATATATATATATATATATATATATATATATATATATATATATATATATATATATATGTATATATATATATATATAGAAAGAGAGATTTAAGTTTAAGAGAAAAGATTGTTAAATGGTCAATTAATGTAGCACATAAAAATAGATTTACAAATCAACTGCATCGATGCAAAGTGAGAGATGAGATTTGTCCAAGACAAAAAATCAAACG